TTCCGCCTGGTGGCCCAGTCGATGGCATTTTAGGGTTTTTCTGTGTTGGTGTACATACAGGGTACAAGGACTTAGGGTACTGGGCCTTCGGGCTTGGGCTTGCACGTTTTGATGGTTGTTTCAGGCTTCAGGTAGGGTTTGGCGGCTCAGGCGTCTGGCGTTGGAATTGTTTTCCTCGAAGTGCGGGGCCAAGTTTTCAGGTTCAGGGCTTGGGGTAGGGAAAAGCCCAACACTCTCAAAAGAGCTTAGCTTATCGGAGGTGGGCTACGACGATGCCCACATGAAGCTTCTACTTCCAAACAATGAATAGAAACAAGTACGCACACACGCGCGCACGCACGCACCCAGCACGCACGCACGCACAGACAGACAGACAGACATACATTCATACATATATAAAAGTTCATTTGCTAATTTATTTGTTCTGTATCAACACGGACATGTGTGTGTGCAAGCAAATACATATATACACATATACATATCATAGAAGTATGTACATATATACATATATTAATATATATATATATGTGTGTGTGTATGTATGTATGTAATGTATGTAATGTATGTAATGTAATGTATGTAATGTATGTATGTATGTATGTATGTAATGTATGTAATGTATGTAATGTATGTAATGTATGTAATGTGTAATGTATGTAATGTATGTAATGTATGTAATGTATGTAATGTATGTAATGTATGTAATATGTAATGTATGTAATGTATGTAATGTATGTAATGTATGTAATGTATGTAATGTATGTAATGTATGTAATGTATGTAATGTATGTAATGTATGTAATGCATGTACTGTATGTAATGTATGTAATGTATGTAATGTATGTATGTACGTGTTTTTTCATCTCTGGGTGGAGCTTGACAATAGAACCAATAATGTATTGCACTGTGATGTTGGGTGTGTATAGGAACCCCCTAAGCGAAAGTGATCTTGCAGATCCTCCTAGGGTTTCGAGAGGGACACAGGGATCCTCATTCTGATTTGAAGTTTATTCCTTGGCCAGGTGTAGTGGGCTCTTTCGGGTAGAAGCATCCCAACGAGCCCAATAGGCCTTATGTAAGGAATATTCCTTAAATCATACTAAGGATCCCTATATAGTTCAAGGAATATTGCTTAGTTAAGGGGTTTGGGGCTCTCTGGGATGACTGCTGTCCCAGGCGCTGCCTCTATCGCAACAGCGTGACCATCGAGCCACTCGAGCCCGCACGAGGGGGGTTCTTGGCTTTCGCTTTGAGGGCCGGTCCATGCAGTTTGTCGATGAGATACTCAAATCTATCATCACAACCCTATCCATACATACATACATACATATATATATATATACATACATACATACATACAGGGTGTATATATATACATATATATATATATAGGGTATATATATATATATATTATGTACATATATCGACTTGGGCATGTGTAAGCGCCTCTATAGGCCCGAGTATTACGTCTTCGCCGGCCTCGTCTTCACCCCGCTGACCGCAGCTTCCCCAGAGCGCTCACCGGCTCAGGGGTTGGGGGTTTGGGATTTGGGGTCTAGCGTTAGGGTTTAGGGTTTAGGGTTTAGGGTTTAGGGCTTAGGGCTTAGGGCTTAGGGCTTAGGGCTTAGGGTGGTGTTTGAGGTCCGCTCTTCAGTGATTGTATCATGGGTTCCCCCTACGACCCTTACTACACCCGTTTTCAGGTTCCTAGTGTAGTGAGGGGGGTAGTGGGGAAACCCATGATTGCAGGGTTCGGATTTACGGGGTCAGGATTGAAGAATTTCACTTTTTTGGGTCATAGGGGTTCAGGGTTTGAAGTCTTGCTGTCGGGCTTAGAGTTTAGAGCATAAGGTCGTCTTAGGGCTTATGGCTGCCTGAGACAGAATCAGAAAGTGCATGATGTATGTGCAAAATTCGGTTTGCGTGCCCTAAACCCTAGCCCCTAAATCCTAAACCCTAAACATCAGCCGGGTAGCTGCTCCATGGGCAGAGTTATGTTTCTACCGGGGGTTTTCCTCACAGAGAAATGGCGCCGAAAGCATTCAGGGAGATGAATGGGCTCAGTGGTGTTCTTTGTCGGGTTTAGGTTTTAGGTTTAGGGTTTAGGGTTTAGGGTATAGGGTTTAGGGTTCAGGGTTCAGGGTTTAGGGTTTTGGGTTTAGATCATGCAGCAGAAGCCCTGAACCCTAAGCCCTTCTTGGCAGCTAGGATCTCCATCCCCAGCCCTACAAGCAGCACTCTCAAACCCTGGTGAAGTCCTCGCCACAAGCGTTGGAAGGCCCATTCTTGTGTCGTTCTGCCCTGAACCCGAAGCCCGAAAGCCTCACCCTCCCTTGCTTGGAAGCCCTGTTGACTTCGTAAGCAGGATTTAGGGTTTGGGGTTTAGGGTTTAGGGTTAGTAAGTTGGGTTATGGGAATATAGCAGGATTTCTAGGGGTTCAAAAGAGCTTCCGAGTAGGAGTAAATCAGCACCAACATCGGGATGGCTTTATACCCTGTATACTACTACAACCCTTGCTAGGGTTCCAACAGTACGAATCTCAGTTCTCTGGGGTGAACTCAAAACCCTAACCCCAAACCCCAAACCCCAAACCCCAAACCCCAAACCCCAAACCCCAAACCCCAAACCCCAAACCCCAAACCCCCAAACCCTAAACCCTAAACCCCTCCCCCCCCCCCCCCCCAAGAAATCAAAACAAAAGAAACAACGTGGAGTAGCCTGGTTACAGGCTGACTTCTTGGAGCAAGCCTGGCCTTCGTCGCAGGAGCTCATGGGCCTTGGGGTATCAGTCTGTTAGGGTGTAGGGTTTAGGGTTTAGGGGTTAGGGGTTTAGGGTTTAGGGGTACAGGGGGGGTATGGTTGAAGGGTTTTGGGGCTTCAAGGCTTTCAGGGGCTTTGGCTCTAGGGCTTTTTTGGTTTTTGGGGTTCCAGGCGTTCTGGTTTAAGGACGGCGAGGACTTTAGGGCTTCCAGGGGGTTGTGGTTTTGGACTGCCAAACTTGCAGACTGTCCAAGCCACACCTTAAGCGCCATGAGCCCTGAACCTACCCCCCCCCCCCCCCTACGGTTTAGGGTTTAGGGTTTAGGGTTTAGGTTTTAGGGTTTAGGGTTTAGGGTTTAGGGTTTAGGGTTTAGGGTTTAGGGTTTAGGGTTTAGGGTTTAGGGTTTGCGAAGCTGCCGGAAGGATCGGCCTGCTCACCTCATGGTCTTGTTCCACAGGCCTTTCCGGGCATGACCTGAGCTGGTTCTTTAAAGGGAACGAGGGGGGGCCCTGTATCTACCCTTTAAGGGGCTACATAAGGTACCTCATTCACTCATTCCCTCCAAAGACCCATGTTTAGAATCCCCCAAACCCCAAACCCTAAAACCCTAAACCCTAAAACCCTAATGTTGGGGAGGGCGGGGCGGGGCAGGGGGGCGCTCGAAGTGAGGTCGGCCAGAGCATCGTTAGATTTACTGCACTGTGGGTGTCCTAAGCCCTAAACCCCAAACCCTGCACCCTCTGAAGCCCTAGACCCTAAACCCTAAACCCTAAACCCTAAACCCTCAAACCCTCAAACCCTCAAACCCTCAAACCCTCAAACCCTCAAACCCTCAAACCCTCAAACCCTCAAACCCTCAAACCCTCAAACCCTCAAACCCTCAAACCCTCAAACCCTCAAACCCTAAACCACAACCCAGGCGCCTCTCAACTGTTACGAAAGCCCAGGGAGCGCGGAGGCCCTACAGAGGCCTTTGTCCTCCTCCGAAGCTGAGAGCCTGACAGCACCAAGCACTTCGTTCGGGCTTAGGGTTTAGGGTTTAGGGTTTAGAGTTTAGGGTTTGGGGTTTAGGGTTTAGGGTTTAGGTTTTAGAGGACTCTACAGGTGCCTTAAACACTCCGCCGCCAGGGGGGTCATGACGCCCGACCGGCGGCAAGCAATTGCCCGACACCTGGTCTGCTTTTGGGGTTTCGGGGGTTTGGGGGGTTTGGGGGTTTTGGGGTTTGGGGTTTTGGGGTTTTGGGGTTTTGGGGTTTTGGGGTTTTGTCGTTTTGGGGTTTTGGGGTTTAGGGTTTAGGGTTTAGGGTTTAGGGCTGGCTCTTCTGTCTCAGAGCGCGAAATGCTCAGGGCTTAGTATGGGGGTTGGAATAACTACTAGTAGTAGTATTCCCTTGATGGTGGTCCCTTTGTAATTATACTCTAGCAACCCCGCCAAAAGGCCTATGCTAGTTATAAAGGCCCTAAACTTGTAGTCCTAAATCCTAATCCCTAAACAATAAACCTATTCTAATTGTTAAGGCCTCTATTTGGGATGGGAATACAGTGTGACCCCTCCACCCGATCCCCAGCCTGAAGTGTGAGAAGACATAGGGTTTAGGGTGTAGGGTTTAGGGTTTAGGGTTTAGGGTGGCCGTGCCTGCCTCCCACTCCCACGTGCAGATTCTGCTGAACATCCTGGCGGATGACGTGAATGCAGGCCGGTTTGCACAAGAAAGCACCGAGCCCAAGACAAAGACCAAAGCCTCTTTAGGCCCTAAGGCCCTAAGGCCCTAAGGCCCTAAGGCCCTAAGGCCCTAAGGGTTTAGGGTTTAGGGTTTAGACCCGAATCTAGGGTTCGGAATAACTACTCATAATTTTCCCTCATAGTCACTTGATATCTATACTACAAAACCCCCAAAGCCCTATTCACTCTTGCTTGGCGTTGTCAGCCCTTTGGAGTAACTCCCTGTTACTGCGTGCTGCAGCGCCGATGTGGCCCTTCTGTCTGCTCTGCTCGGCTCTGGAAGTCTAGATCCCCGCTTTCGGGTCGTAGTCACTGAGATGACACAAGCGCTGTGCAGCTCAAGACGCCTTTGCACAAGACTTGTGTGGGTCTCCTACTAGTATATTGGGCATGTGCGTAAGGGGTTCATTATCACGTACAACCCACTTAAGCTTGCAGTGGTCGAGGTTGTGCTCAATAAGGTCGAGGGCGACGCAGGGAGAGGCTCAGAATGTCTTAGCTGCATGGGCGGCGGCATGCGGGCCCAGAACTTGCTGTGGCGAAGCCCCTTCAGGTTCTTGGCGACGCGCATCAGTGGACAGTCACGTACCTCCTCGACCAGCTTGTCAGTCCCTAAGGCTGTCGATGCCTTCCAGTACGCATCGCGGGAAGAGGAACGGATCGTGAAGACTACGCTGCATGAGTTGGGAACGCAATCGGACATGAAGCTCTCGCTGAAGGTCTACCACTTCCAAGAACTGCCGCTCGACTGTTTTATGCATTCGAAGCACTCGGTTGGCTGAATTGTTTGACTGATGCACATCGTAGCGGGCCCAATGCTTTTACAAAGGGGTTCCGAGTTTGATGCATATCGGAGGGGGCCCAATACTTTTTAAAGGGTTTCCGAGTTTCAAGAACAGTACAGGTCCCGTACATCCCTGTCGGACGAGACCCTGCGGCGGGACTCGCGGTACGTGCGCCTGAAGCAAGACTTGCGAGACGAGGTGTCCAAGCTATCACCTGCGCAGCTCGTAGCAGCAATGGTCTCCAGCGGCCGTTTGAGTGTGCGTGAGAAAGCACTTTGGTGGGATTTGGCGCGTGCAGTGGAGAGGCATACCGTCAAAACGCGCAGTGGCTTACCAGGCTTGCAGCACTCGCAGATCTGTTTGGTCATGTATTCCCTGGGCAAGGCCGGCATCAAAATCAAAGATCGCTTCTACTTCCGCCATTTCAAGCTCATGATCAAACATGCGGAGGTTTGGACAGAGTTTGATATGGCATGGATCTTGTATGCGATGCGCAAGCGCAGGCTGAAGCCGCATTTTGAGGATGACATAAAGCATCGACTGTGGGCCCAAGTGACCCGCGCCGTAGCAGCATACTTCAACCAGAAGCTGCATTTCATATCGCCACAAGGTATTGTTTTCATCCTGTACGAGTTTGCGAAGCAAGGACTGTACCCAGGTGAGTCAATCTTCCGGGCAGGTCGCCGAGTTCGCAGGCATATCGGTTCTTTGAGCAACAAAGCCTTGGTGTGCCTTGCAGTGGTGCTAGCCCGGTTCGACTGGCCGCAGCGGCGTTTGCTGAAGAAGCTGAGCGCGGAGGTCGTCCAGTCACGACGCTTGGTGCAGCTGCACCCCAACATGCTGGCCGTGATTTTGCACGCCTATGCAAGGTTAGGAGTTCGTGACCTAGCCCTCTTAGAAGGCACCACCGACAAGCTTTCTCGATCCACCGAGAAGATGGCCCGCAGGTCCACCACGATGGTGGCCTACTCCCTAGGTCGATTGGGGGTGCGTGGGCCCATGTGGAAGCCACTTGCAGATCGAATCTTGGTAGGCCCTTGGGGATATTTCATATTTTCCCTTAATTGGGTTTAAGAGGACCCCATTCAGGAATATTTTTCAGAGGGTATTTAAGGGCCCTCCTAGGAATTTCTGAGCAGATCGACTACTACCCGCCCCTGGAGCTTGCCTTGATCGCACATGCTTTTGGCAAGGCCTCCGTGCGTGAGCGGAGCCTCCTGGAGGGCCCGCTCTCGGACGCCGCCCCTATATCCCCCTTGAGAACTTTTTTTAAAAAATTTGTTTATATAACACCCAAGAGGATATTTAAAAACATATTTTTATTAAGGTTCTAAGGGGAGTATAGGCCCTGGGCAGCATTAGTGGCTTCACCCCGAAGCACGTGGCCTGCCTGCTGGATGGTTTGACCTTGGCAGGTTGCTTACGGGAAGATGTGTTCCTTGGTAGCCCAGTGGTACCCTTTACCTTTTTTGGTTTTGGGTTCGCTTATAAAGTAACCAACTCAGAAAGACTGCCCTTATTGTAGGATGATTACTGGTCTACCAAGGTTCAGTGCCTTCATGGAGGAGTATATTCGCCTGGGTTCCATCGGTGGTCGGCAGCGGCAGCTGATGATGGCCCGGATCCTCTTCGCGGTCCTGCTGGAGCGCAAGCACCTGCTGGAAAACCGGAGTGCAGCATGGCAGCCACTGCTGAGTCGGATTCAGCATGCCCCTGTGGACGCAGTGCCTCTGCCGCACCATCGGGAACTCGCCAGCTGCGCCGTGGCTCTGTCGCTGGATGCCCGCCCACGTCGGCGCAGGGGACCTTACGTCGTGGACCTGCACGTGCCGGTGGACGCGCACGTTCCTGCAGCCGAGGGAGCCAAGCGTGTTATCTCAGGCTTGGCAGTCCATCTCATGGCCGAGGCAGAGTTTTGCCCTTTGACCGGGGAGCTCCTCGGACCCACTCGACTGCGACGGCGCCAGTTGCTTACTTAGACAACAGTTGAATTTTGCAACTTCTTTAAAGTTCGGTTTCCTTATACTTAGTACAGTTTAACCTTTATTCCCCTTGGTTATTATTGGAGAGTAAGGTTGGAGCGCATGGGATGGCAGCACTTGGGACTTCGGCGTAAGGAGTGGTTGGCGCTGCCTGACACTGAGGCAAGGGTCTCTGCTTTGGAGGCCCTGCTGCTACTTAGTAGCCCAGTGGTACCCTTTTTCCTTTTTTGTTGTTTTTGTTGGTTCAAGGTTCCCTTACAAAGTAGCCAACCCCCAAAAGAGTACCCATATCATAAGATGGTTAGTACCAAGGCTGGAGCATGTTCCGCTGCGCCGCCGTCCTGTTGCGGAGCAAATGGCACTCTTGCCGGAAGGGCAGTCCACACAGCCAGGCCTTCTGTCTGCCGGCTCAACAAGCAACAGCTTGGAGAGCGGTTCTGAGAATCTCAGTAGTTGAACGAGTACACTTTGCACTTTTGGGGATAGTCTAATCCCCTATTGAACTGAAAGTCTACACTTTTGGGCCCTAAAACTAATCCTATTAAACTGAAAATGTACGCTTTTGTCCCTAAAACCCTAAACCCTAAATGGGGGGGCTTATGAGCTCAGCAACTGAGGAATGATGTGGTGCAACTGCCAGATGTGCCAAGGTCTGAAGCAGCATCTGCCGAAGTGGCCGGCACGCTGGATCCACATCTCGAAGATAAAAGAAGTAGGTGTTTAGGGTTTATAAGTTTAGGGTTTAGGGTTTAGGGTTTAGGGTTTAGGGTTTAGGGTTTAGGGTTTAGGGTTTAGGGTTTAGGGGTGTCTGACCACGCATGTGCCTCAGTGCGATTTACAACCAGCTGCGATTAAGGAGCAGGCTTGAGACGTGTTCGCTGCTCTTGGCCAAACCTAGTTGTGTTATAAGAATAGGAAAAGCAAAAATGCATATTAATTGTGCTTGTTGTTAGTTGCATTTGTAGTATCACAATAGTGTGAGAACTTTGACCTCTTGGCATTCTCAGATACGTCGCCGCCATCATTATTCTCAACGCGTACCCCCCCGGAGAGCCCAACTAGGCTCATGCAAAAGCAGCCCCCAACACCCAACACGTGAACCCCTAAGCCTCACTAGCCCCCTCCAGCCTCTAGCCCCTTTAAAGGTCGGGGAATTAGGTACCTTTTATACCTGCATAGCCCTGTAAAAGCCTAGATAGAGAATCTAACCCTGATTCCCTAACTAAGAACACCTCAACCCACGCTGAACCCAAGCACAAACCCCATAACCCTGAACCCTACAACGCATCACCCATTCAAACCCTATGAACCCTACGTCCTAAGCCCTTCAAACCCCAATCCCCAAACCCTTCAAACCTTGAAACCCTTCAACCCTTCAAACCCTAAACCCTTCAAACCCTAAGCCTTCAAACCCTGAACCTTCAAACCCTGAACCCTTCAAGCCCTATCAACCCTGCAGCCCTCAAACTCTTCAAACCCTTCAAACACTAAGTCCTTCAAACCCTACTCGGAAGTTCACGGGTAGTTCTAAGTAGGGTTATAAGCTGTTAAACTATACTGATAACTTATAACCCTGTGTAGGGTACTTATAATCCATGAACCTCCAAGTACATCCTAAACCCTAATCCTCCAAACCCTCAACCATACACCCTAAACCCCCTATTTAGGGTACTTATACCCCTACTTCTAACTATCCATGTTCGATTGGCCCCGCAGATCTGACGGGGTAACCTCATCAACCTCTAAGTAAACACCCTAAACTCTAAACCCTAAACCCTAAACCCTAAACCCTAAACCCTAAACCTCATCAACCTCTAAGTAAGCTCTTCTTCAGGCCATGGGTCTGGTTACGTGGGCGCGCCCATCCTGGAGAGCGGCACCCTCAGCTTTTGGCGTAGGCGTTTAGGGTTCAGGGTTTGGGGTTTAGGGTTTAGGGTTAGGGTTTAGGGTTTAGGGTTTAGGGTTTAGGGTTTAGGGTTTAGGGTTTAGGGTTTAGGGTTTAGGGTTTAGGGTTTAGATGCCCTGGGTTTCCAGAAGCAAGCAGCTCTATAGGGTTTATACAGGGCTTCGGGTGTGGGGTTTCACTTTTTTTCTTCCCTTCCAGGTTTAGGGGTTACAGGGTTTATGGTTTTCGGGTTGTGCGGTTCAGGCTTCAGGGAACTGCGAACGGCAACCAGAAGTGGTCGGCGGGGCTTCGGGTTTCTTTACAGCCAGTGGGGGGCTCTGAATGAATGAGAGCTTATCGGGGTGCGCAGCCCTTTTGTGCCTTAGCCCTTCTAGGCGAAAAAAGGAGTCTGCGCAGTTCCCGCTGCGCCGTAGCTGCCCTAAACCCTAAACCCTAAGCCCTAAACCCTAAACCCTAAACCCTAAACCCCAAACCCCAAACCCCAAACCCCAAACCCTAAACCTAAACCCTAAACCCTAAACCCTAGACGCCTACGCCTCTCAGCTCGCCCTTGGACCTCGAAGCCATGCTCCTAGGGCCGTCCCCTGCTTGGTAGCCCAGGGTGGTACCCTCTGCACCTTTGCTTTGGGTGCTGGTTCCCTTCTAAAGTAACCAACATTTAAAGAATATAATGCCCTTATTATAGGGTTGCTGGGCTACCAAGCTTGGGGACCCTAAACCCTAAACCCTAAAACCCTATAATTACCCTAAACCGTAAACCCTAAACCCTAAACCCTAAACCCTAAACCCTAAACCCTAAACCCTAAACCCTAAACCCTAACCACATGAACCCGAACCTTGGGACCTCATACACCCTCCACCACTGTAATCTGTAGCAAGGTATGTGGGCCACAACACCCTTTTAGGGTTCATTTGCCCCCCCTCCACCATTGCAATCCCTAGTAAGGTATGTGGACCCTCACACCCTTTTAGGGTTCATTTGGTCCCCAAGGACACGTGCATTAGCTGAACTCAGCCTTGGACCCTAAACCCTAAACCCTCATGAGCCCTGTCGGAGTCTCATGTCTCCGCATTCTACATTCTAAATTTGCGAGCCGTATTATGTGGAAGCCTTATAAGTGCTCCACTTCACCCAGAGCAGGTATTCTTTGTCACGATTCAGGGAACCGCATTGTAAACAGGCGCAACTCCTTCACCCTACACCGCGAAAACCGAACCCTATGCTCGACTGTAGCCGTAAAGCCCTAGAAGCCCTAAGCCTTGAAGCCCTAGATCCTAAAAAACGCTCAACCCTAAAGCCTCCAAAACCCAAAACCTTAAACCCTGAAAATCCCTAGACCCTGAAAATTCAAAAGACCCCCCAAGCCCCAAAAGCCCTGAATCCTAAACCCTAACAACCTAAACGCTGAGGCATCGGCGGGCACAAGGCACCTTGGAAATGGATGCAGCACTAGGGGGAGGTGATTTAACAGAGTGTGGGCTGTCGCAGGCGTTGGATGTTGCAAAGGGGAGGGGGGAGGCACGAAGTTGCCGAACATCTTGCGGAGTCTTGTTCCTTGAAGTGCAACTAGAGCGCCCAGCAGTGCCCGCTGTTCCTCTTTTTGAGAGAGGTTTTCAGATAGGATCCCCAACGACAAGGGCTAAACCCTAAACCCCTAAACCCCTAAACCCCTAAACCCCTAAACCCCTAACCCCTAACCCCTAACCCTAAACCCTAAACCCTAAACCCTAAACCCTAAACCGCAATGCTTCACTTGCATATTGGTGTATCCATGTGGACCTGGGAAGGTCTCGGACATGTCCGAGCTTGTGAGCCGGCTGCAACAGGAGGCACCGGGTGGACTCCCCCAGCATTTTGGTGAAGTAGGGTTTAGGGTTTAGGGTTTAGGGTTTAGGGTTTAGGGTTTAGGGTTTAGGGTTTAGGGCTTAGGGTTTAGGGTTTAGGGTATAGGTTTGTGGTGCTTTGGGGGATGCCCCACCCTCACAACGGCGGCCGTAGTAGCCATAGTGCTGCAGTGGGGCATACGCAGACCCTGCACAGCACAAGTTGTGAGGCCCTCAGTGGTCTGATTTCGAACATTCCTTGCCAAACATTCCGAGCAGCCGCCTCTAAACCTTGCTTCCCATACTCGCTAGAAAGCCCTTTTTGCCCAAACCCTAAACCCCAAACCCTCAGCACCTTGGGGGCTTCTTCTTTCCTGGATTGAGACTCCAACATTACGGTCTAGGGTTTGGGGTTTAGGGTTTAGGGTTTAGGGTTTAGGCTTCCCTCCCCCCCTCTCCTCCCCACGTGGCTCCCGGGTTTCCTACCCAGTTTCTTTTTTTTTTTTTTTTTCTCCAGGGGTCAGTGCTTTGGGGATGTAAACCTGGAGAAGCCCCAAAGCCCTAAACCCGAAACCCTAAACTCTAAACCCTAAACCCTAAACCGTCCCTTGAAGCTTCATGATGCCAGGCGCGGGAGAAAGACTTTGTCGAGATCGAGTTTACAATGGCGGTCGCTTGATTCATGGCCCTGGGGTTTAGGGTTTACTGTAGGGTTTAGGGTTTAGGGTTCAAACCTCCCCCCTAGAGAGGAATACAGGGGTCGGAAGATCACGAATAGTAGCATTCCCTTGTGGTCCCGATATGACTAGCCATGATAACCCCCCCCCCCCCCCCAAAAAAAAAATAATAATAATAAAACAGAAAAAAAAATATATATATATATATATATACACATATATGTATGTATGTGTATTCTAATTACTCAGGCCCCTATATTACTGTAGTAGGAATATTTGGGAACAAGAAACCCGAAACCCCCTTTGGAGTCGAGGTTTCCCAGAGCATGGCAAACCTTTTCAACCCTAGGCCATCCTTGCGGACTGCATGATTCCCAAAGGTTTAGGGGTTTAGGCTTTAGGGTTTTAGGGTTTTAGGGTTTTAGGGTTTTAGGGTTTTAGGGTTTTAGGGTTTTAGGGTTTTAGGGTTTTAGGGTTTTAGGGTTTATGGTTTAGGGAGCCCTGGAGCAAGAACAAGTTTGTGGAGGGTTCAAGTTTAGGTCTCATTAGACACAAAGGATCAGGGTTTGGGGAAAGATGTGGGTCTTGCTTTCGTGCTTTCGCTGCAGCTATGTCCTAGCATCCTCCAGCCTCCCGCGCATGTCTACTACCGAAGTCGATCATCTGCTACCCCTTCCATCGCTCCCGTGGGTTTGCCGAACGTACACAAAAAAGTTACATCGACCTTTTGTATCTTTGCCGCATGCATGGCATCTATATGCTCCTAATAGGATCTCAGCGAAATTCTGGACCAGGCAGGCTAAACCCCAAACCCTGTTCAACGAGGCTTCTAAGGTGCGGGGACACCTTTTAGGGTTCCCTTTGCTGCTCTAGCGACCTGTGTATATTCATTCCCGCACCGGTACGCAAATCTGGGCGACAATTGTTATGATTAGTTTGTCTCTTTGGCGCCGAGGGTCCCCTTCTGCCTCTAGCCATGACTCGTAAGTGTACGAATCATCGGGGCGCACTCTCTAGCCCCAAACCGTATTCCTTAAAAACCTAAAGCCTCAATCCTACAAAACCCCTTCAGCCCCAAACAAGCCCTTTAGGGCCCCTTTTGCTTTGTGCTTTGCTGCAACTTTAGATCCTTAGCCTTTTTGGGGTTTACTGGGTTTCTGAATAAGGCAGCTAAAAAGCTAACTTATCGCTCCCCTCCTAAGTGCAACCAAGTTTAAGCACCCGAGTAGTTTCCAGGTGGGCCCCTACACAATGGTGCTCAAGTCGGCGGACGTCGCGGAGGCCAAGCCCGCGCCCACAGGGAGGAGGGTTTCCTGTAATTTGTCATAGTGGAGTACTATTTTACATGTTTAAGGGTACTTAAATTCAATAATGAATGGAAATTTAAGTTTTTAATACTCTCCCAGCCATGAACTAGTATAGGGTTGGTAGGGTTGATAGGGTTTACATGGTTCATGGGGTTTATGGGTTCAGAGTGCTTACAGGGCATATAGGATTGATAGGGTTTATATAGTTTTTGTGGGGTTTGTAGGGCGCATAGGGTTTGTAGGGTTTATCGGGCTTAGGGTTCTAGGTTGTAGGGTTTAGGGTTCTAGACTATAGGGTTTAGGGTTTAGGGACGCTGAGGCTTCAAGGCTACAAAAGCTTATAAGGGTTGAAGGTTCTCGGGTGTAAGGGGCTCAGAGGTTATGGCTGCGGGCATCGGTTCGGCTCTTGATGTCGATGCATGCCCTTATATACCCGTCATACCCCTCATCTAGCCCTTCTACACCCCCTTATACCCCCCTTTCAACCCCCCTTAACCCCCCTTAACCCCCCCCCCCCCCTTTTACCCCACCCCCCCCCTCCCTAAACCCTAAACCCTAAACCCTAAACCCTAAACCCTAAGAAAACAAGGCAGGGCTGCACCTAAACCTTTGCGGGCTAAAATGAGCCCCAAGTTTAGGGTTTAGGGTTCAGGGTCAGGGTTTCGGGTTTCGGGTTTAGGGTTATTTAGGGTTTAGGGTTTAGGGTTTAGGGTAGGGTCTAGGGTTCAGGGTTTAGGAAGGTTTTGGTCCACAGGCCCAGACCGGCGCTTTCCCTGCTAGATGTAGACCCATGACCTGCAGCCATAAGTTTAGGGTTCAGGGTTTGGCGGCACCATGCGAACCCCCCGCTACCGGTGAATGCTTAGGCTTTCACCCGGTTTTCGGGCCTCAGTATGAAGGTTTTAGGTATATAACTGTCTCCAACTCACTCACAGGGGGGTAGTGAAAGGTTGAGGGTCATGCCGCCATGCGCAAAGGGTTTACCTGTGGCATGGGGGGGGGGAGGATTATATGTAGAGGGTTGTTTCTGGGGGTTCACTCCACCACTCCCCCTTGGCTCGAGGGTCATCAGGGCCCTGAGAGTCATTCAAACCATCGGGACTCTGAACCCAACAGGCATCTGGTCCATACCTCCCGCACAGTGTGGACTTGTGCAGTACAGTTCGTGCTTCCTAACGAATCCTCACTTTTGGGGCCTAAACCCTACACCCTAAACCCTAAACTCTGAACCCGAACCAGGCTCAGGTAGGTTCCTTCATTAGGCGGGGTGCTGGGCTTCAGGCTGAAGTACGCATCCGCGAGCTCTATCAGCTGCCAGAGCCCCACATCGTTCTCTTTAGGGTTTCAGGTTTTAAGTTCAGGGTGTAGGGTTTAGTTTAGGGTTTAGGGTTTAGGGTTTAGGGTTTAAGGTTTAGGGTTTAGGGTTTAAGGGTTTAGGGATTCAGGTTGACTTGGAGGTTCACAGGTAGTGATAAGCAAGGCTGGAAGTATGATAACTCTACTTCTGGATTTTGGAGTACTATACGTTAATACTTTGTTGGTTCTGAGTTCCTATTACAGCTACTTCTGCCTAAAAGGTATATACTTGCTTTCCAGGGTTTACTCCAAAGTAGGGACTTCATGTACTTCTACCCGTACTTATTACTACCCATGAACCTGTTCAGGGCATGGGCCATTGATTTCCGTCTGATGCGCGTCCGAGGGACTCGAGTACAAGCTTCACATGGCCAAGCCCCGAATGCCAGTAATGTCCGCTATTTTATGTTCTAGGAACAAGTAGGATGTCCCCCCTTATGCTAACAGTCCTTAATAGGGATCCCCCCTATTATAATCCCTATTCAGGAGCTGTCAGTTTGAGGGGGAACATCCCAAGTTTGGGTTATGGACTGCGCACCAGATCTGCCGAACCGCATGTAGTCCGTCCCTTAACGAACCCCCCCGTCTTCGCCCAAAAGCGAGCCATCTACATGGGGGTTTTGGGGCTTGGGGTTTGGGGTTTAGGGGTCCTTTAGCCCCTGTCCTCCCAACTTCAAGCCCCATACAGGACCATCCTCCACCTCCTGAGCCCCCAAACCCTAAATCCCCAACCCAAAATCCTCGGTTGTGCTAGACCCAACACCCCCAGAACCTCAAAACCCGGAGACTCCAATACTCTTTAGTTAAGAATATTCCTTAGACCATACAAGGAGCCCGAATACGACAGGGGCTTTATAATTTGAATAGGGTACTGGAGGCTATTAAATTGCAAAGTGCACTTTAGGTATTCCAACCCCTCTATAACTAACTGTTCAAGGAATTTTCCTTAAGGAAGGGTCATATTGGAGTCCCGAGGAACCCCCCTAAACCCTAAACCCTAAACCTTAAACCCTAAACCGCCCCAAATGCAAGACTCACCCAGGCCAGCCCTTGCCTCGCGCAACCTTGATGCCGAGCCCATCCCGGCCATCCCACCTTTGGTGGGCGTGGCCGCGGGATGAGGGCAGAGAAGAGGGGGGTGGGGTTTAGGGTTTAGGGTCTAGGGTTTGGGGTTTAAGGTTTGGGGTTTGGGGTTTGGGGTTTAGGGCCTAGGGTTTAGGGTTTAGGGTTTTAGGGTTTAGGGTTTAGGGTGAGGCAGGAGGTCTACTTTTAGGCTCGCCCCAAGAGCCCCAAACCCTTTTTTAGAAGGAACATTGGAATCCTATGAGTGATTGGGCCACAGGGTCTGGGGGATACCGGGTTAGGGCTGAGGGTGCAGGGTTCAGATCGCTTAGTGTCGAGTGAAGAGGTTTCTCAGAGCCATGAAGCTTAGAGGGCTCAACATAGGTTAAGAACCTGAAGTGCTTGCAGGGTTTAGCGCGCAAGGTGCCGTAGCCATGTGGGGCCCCTCCCCCTTATATATCCGACTTTTAACTTCGCCAGCTGTGCCAGATGCACGTGCGGTGCACTTCTTCCTACATCCTGGCGAGTCAGCGCGTCGGCGTTACGGGTCCGTCCTGATCTTGTGGAGCCCCAAAGGCACCCCCCCAAACCCATCCGAACTGATTCATGCGCTTCTGACAGACCCGCAGCCCTGCCTCAGTTTCGCTGGTCAATGATTTCTCAAAGCCTCAAAAGGGTTTAAGGCTGTATAGGACGTCTTGGACTTTAGGGCTCAACTTAGGACTTAGGACATCCTCCGAGATCAGCATGATGAGATTCTTCGGCGCTCTTTGAGAAACAGTCCAGTTTGAGAACAGCATGTTGCGCACGAGTTTCGAGCGTTGCTCCGTCTGGCAGGAAATGGCCTGTCGACAGCCTCAGCCGTTCATAGGATGCCCTGCTGGCAGACCCCGGAATGATTGCTGGGACTGATTTCTCCACATGCCGGCTGCAACACTATGAGATCCGTTCCAGGTCCTGAACTACCTGCACCTAAGGCCTAGTAGGGTTTACCTCAACAGTCCAAAGCTTAAAACTTTTTTTTTTGCTTTTTTACTCATGATAAGCCTTGAATCCTAAACACCAAGACCACTCAGGACATAGAGGTTTCTCAGTCTAAATTCTGAAACCGAAGACTCTTGGGCCCAAGCAATTCGCCACCCCTGCACCTGACCAGTTTGTCACCCTCCAGTGACTCAATCATCTGAGGTATACAATATTTTACTAAGATGTGCACTAACTAGTTATTAGACTGTCTAGGGTTTAGGGTTTAGGGTTTAGGGTTTAGGGTTTAGGGTTTTAAGGTTTAGGGTTTAGGGTTTAGGGTTTAGGGTTTAGGGTTTAGGGTTGATATGCTTGGTAGTAGTTCTCATTGAGCCAGCTCGCAGTCCGGCATGGTGAAGCTGTGCCGTTCGCATTGTTTTCGACAACCGCTGCTGAATCCCTGCAGCTCTGTCGCTGGGGCACTTCGGGGTTTAGGGTTTAGGGTTTAGGGTTTAGGGTTTAGGGTTTAGGGTTTAGGGTTCGGGAGCTTGGCTTCGTTTCTACCCCGGAAGGATCAGCGACTGGTGGGGCGTGCGCCCTCCACTTGCATTGATTGCAGCCCAAAGAGGGCTTCGGGGGCGTCGCCGATAGACCCCGAACACCAGAAGCGCGACGAGGTCTGCACTAGGGTTTAGGGTTTAGGGTTTAGGGTTTCGGGTTTTGGGTTTAGGGTTTAGGGTTTAGGGTTTAGGGCGTAGGGTGTAGGGTTTAGGGTAGGCCTGGACCCTGTCCTCCGGCTTCACTGTCTGTGTGCACTTGTGCCCTCCCAAGCAGCTATCTCTGAGACACAAACACTCACATCATCCACACGCGCACGTTGCACTCAGATGTGTGCCTGGCACAAGCCCTGCGCCCTAAACCCTAAACCAACCAACCAACAAAAGCCCTAATTGCAATTGCACGTCCTTGTCGAATCCGAGCTGCTTCAGCCATTCATTGGCCGCTACCCCGTCACACGCCCTATCTTGGTACGGTGAGGTCATAGGAGGTGACGAGGGAACTCGCGACCTAAGCTCTGGTTTTGGAGTTAGACGGCTAAAACATCGCTCCAGGATGAAAGAGAAGGTCATGGCTGCAAACTTTCCTTGGTGATCCGGAGCTGTGTCGCAGAAGAAAGCTGCGCAGGGTGTGGCCTAAACCCTTAACTGCCTAGCCCCGTGAACACTTCGGGTGAGAGCTGATGTTTCGGGTAAACCCTCTAAACCCTCTAAACCCTCCAAACCCTCTAAACCCTCCAAACCCTCCAAACCCTAAACCCGTTTGGGACGCGTTCTTCCCAAACTCTAAGTCCGCCCTGGCATCCCCGGACCTACTGCCCCCACACACCCTGGATCACCTTCTTTGAGGACTCAGGGCGATATAGTGGGTCTGGGGTGTAGGGTTTATAGAAAATATGGTTTCGGGGAGTATGCCCTGCACCTTGACGTTTTCGACGACTTGTACCAGAGCAACTACAGGAACGTCAGCAACAAAAACAACAGCTTTGTTTTTGCAGATTGCTTTGAAGGCGCCGTCTAGCATTACAAGCCTCCGAGAACTTGTATTTCCACAGCTGGAACCCGAATCATGTATGAGTTGCCGGATAGGGATTTATGGGGGAGGAGTTTCTACTTGCTTCAACTCGGACCCAGAGTGGGGCCCTTATTCCCATTTTGGGGGGTTTAGGCTCCCTTCTAAGCCCCTTGAGAAACCAAAAAGGGCACCCATTTTATTCCTAAGTTACTCTTTGGTCTAGTCAACCCTGTTCTTGGCAATCCATCCGCAAACCTGTGAGTAGCAAAGAGGTGGGCGCGACCGCTGCTTTTCGGCCTCCTTTTCTGTCGTGTGGGCAACGCGGTAGCTTTGATAGTTATCCATCTATCGTACCCCCAGGCAGCAGACTAAGGCAATGAAACACCCTGAAGCCCTGAAGCCCTGAACCTCAACCCTCAACCCTCAACCCTCAACCCTCACAGCCCCTCACCCCTAAACCCTAAACCCTAAACCCTAAACCCTAAACCCTAAACCCTAGACCCTAGACCCTAGACCCTAGACCCTAGACCCTAGACCCTAGACCCTGGACCCTGGACCCTGGACCCTGGACCCTGGACCCTAGACCCTAGACCCTAGACCCTCAACCCAGCCCTAGCTTGTGGAAGGGATGCCCCAAGCCCTGCTGAACCCTCAGCCCTACACCCCAAGCATCCCAGAGCCCCCCAGGAGCCCAGATCCCAAAAAGACCTAAACCCTAAACCCTAAACCCTAAACGCTATCCCCCCTAAACCCCAAACCCTAAACCCCAAACCCTAAACCCTAAATCCCGAACCCCGAAGTCCCCCCTCAACTCAGCCAGCAAGAGTCGACATGTCCATGGGATGGACGCAACAGCGCCAGAGAGGCAGCTTACTCTGTATTCGGGGGGGGGGGGGGGGGCTTTACTTGGAGGTGCGGAGGTGCATGGGTAGCAGCTAGGGTTTATAGGGTTTAGGGTTTAAGGTTTGGGGCGGCAGCAAGTACCCATATTTCAGAATGTCTCCCAGGGTGGAGGTCGCTTTTGGGGGCATAGTCCTGGGTCCAGGCGACCTCGAAAAGGGTGGGTGCGGCCTCAGCAGGTTGGGTGGGAATTTAATTAAGGTTAAGGGTTTAGGATTTACTTGGAGGTTCATGGGTAGATTAAAGCAGGGTTCCAAGTACCTTAAGTAGGGTTCTTTTTTTCAGTATAGTTTCCATGCTTATAACTTATGATCCTCTCCAAGTAGGGTAAGGGTTAGAAGGCACGCTGGAAAACAGGCCTTAGGGTTTGGGGCCAGTTTCGGATGTGACTTGCTTTATTCATGACCTGGAGGGCCAGAGATCAGAGAGCCGGGGTTCAAAAGGGTTGAGATTGATAGCTCCTCCATGAGCCTCACTCTTCCGCAAAGAAAAGGGGTTTGCTTATTCCTAGGTTGCCTTTGGACCCAGGAACATAGTAGATTTTTTTGGGCACCCTCGCCCTAGACATCAAGTCTTTTGTCAAAAGGGATCCCTCAAAAGGACCAGAAATCTCAGTGATAAGAGCCTCTTGCGCAGTGCGCCGAGCCACCACTGCGACTCCTGCGGCCGAAGCTACGCGACCTTGAATGGGCTGTTACAGCATCAAAGCACCTTGGCCACATACACGTAGTACTTGGTGGGAAAGACACGGAATTGCGTACTTCATGTCCCCTGACATGACCCTCTATAAGAGGTCTTCGGGGATCCTACCTCAAGTTGGTGTAGGGTCCACGGATTGTCAGGGTCTGGGCCGCACCTATGTGAATTCAGCTTCGTAGGGCCATGAAGCAATAAGTTGCAAGCCCTCAGCCATTGTGTATTCGGAAGCAGGTCCCTGCTGCTTGCACGAACCTGCTGCAAACTGAGGTAGATACTGCCCCAAGTTATCGCAGCCAGGCCGCTTCTGCTTAGTAGTAGTAGTAGTAGTAGTAGTAGTAGTAGTACTACTACTACTACTACTACTACTACTACTACTACTACTACTACTACTAGTACTAGTAGTAGTACTAGTATTAGTACTAGTACTAGTACTAGTACTAGTACTAGTACTAGTACTAGTACTAGTACTAGTACTAGTACTAGTAGTAGTACAAGTACTAGTACTAGTACTAGTACTAGTACTAGTAGTAGAGTAGTAGTAGTGGTAGTAGTAGTAGTAGCAGTAGTAGTAGTAGTAGTAGGAGGAGGAGTAGTAGTAGTAGTAGGAGTAGGGAAACCCTAAACCCTAAACAGAGTGTGCCTCGCCTGGCGTGTCCGAGTGTGAGCGATTAAACCCTAAACCCTAAACCCTAGCAAACCCCTAAGCCCGCTCAAGTGATCAGAAGCCTCGGCTGGTGGCCCCGTGAAAAAGCGGCGGCGCATCTCGCAGATTCCGGAGGCAGAGGAGTGTTTAGGATTTAGGGGTTTGGGGTTTAGGATTTAGGGGTTTCGGGGGTATCGTATAGTGCTTAGGGTTAGGGTTTAGGTTTCGTCCAGGGTTTTCGGATTGCAGGGTTTTAGGGTTATAGGATTTCAGTGTTAGGGT